CATTTTGAATCGCCTCAATCGGATATCGAAATACAAAGTTATGATAAAAATACTGAAGGAAGGTGCAGCTGCCTGTTTAAAACAAAAAATTCCGTTAAATGGTCTGTTATATTGAGACATATTTTTGACATAGAAAGTGATCGAATTGGAGAATGATGTCTGAATCAAAGTTTTAGTCAGATGGGTTAGCTTTCTAACTCATTTTTAATCACCTCAATCGAATATCGGAATACAAAGTTATGATAAAAATACTGAAAGAAGGTGCAGCTGCCTGTTTAAAACAAGAAATTCCGTTACATAATCCGTTAAAACAACAAATTTCGTTAATTTTTCTGTTAAACAAATAAATTCCGTTAAATAGACACTTTTTATATATAGAAAGATATATACCTGAAGTACGAAAATTATATTATCTTATGAACTAATTCCTCCTTAATTGTTAATTCCAAAGTAAAGATTGTGAAGGACTGAAGGTATAACTTTGTACAAGATAGTCAAATTTCCTCACGTGCATTGGACATGATCTTTTGGAAGCAAATGTGGCGGAGAGGCCGATATCTCGTTACCTAGTTATATAACTCTCGAGACCATTGGAGATCTAGAACTCAGAAGGCTGCCAATGCAATTAAATGTAAGGTTCACCCCAGTACTACCATGCCTATTATATATATGAATGATCTAATCAGCATTGATATTCATCTTATATTAAGTATCGATGACTTGTTATATAAATCAATTGGTGGATTCCACGTAACCAGAGTTTGCCCAATTCTTTTTTCTTTTTTTTTTAAATACTCATGTTACACGAGATATAATATTTATTAGATTAATTTATATTTAAAAAAATTTAATTACTAGTCAACTTATATTGGCTCTTTGGGAAAATAATAATTTATTTATGATAATACTTTTCTTATGTGAAGAGTGAAATTACAAACTTACCCATTGGTAACAATTGTGGTGGCCGTTTTGCTAATGTGTAGTGTAGTTAAACATATAGACGGTGGCGGTGGTGCACACGAACCTTACCCATTGAGTTGTTATTACTCTCAGTTCACTTCATTAATAATGACCTATGATGCCCGGCTTTGGGATTTAAAACTATACATAGAGCATTATTCAAGATGTTCTTCGGTGCGTGAGATTGTAGTGGTTTGGAACAAAAGTGTACCTCCACATTCATGTGATTTCGATTCATCAGTGCCAGTGAGGATAAGAGTAGAGAAATAGAACTCACTGAACAATTGATTCAATGAGCTTGATGATGATATTATGATGACTTGTGGTGATGTTGAGAGAGGATTCAGAGTGTGGCGTCAATATCCTGATCGGATTGTCGGATTTTATCCTAGGCTGGTGAGTGGGGACCGTTTGAAGTATCGAGGTGAAAAACATGCTTGAACCCACAATGGATATAACGTTATCTTAACAGGGGCGGCTTTCGGCTACGGTCCTATGGCTTTTGGGAGGTACTGGAGCGAGAGAGCTTCAGCAGGCAGGGCATTGGTGGATAAGGATTTCAATTGTGAGGATGTGCTTATGAACTACTTGTATGCTAATGCAAGCTTATCCGAAGTTTTCGAAGTATGTGAAACCTACATGGGCTATTGATACGTTGAAAATTTCTGGCGTTGCGATTAGCAGGAATACAAAGGCTCATTACGGGGTCAGAAGCAATTGCCTTAACGAAGTTTTCAGATATGTATGGTAGTTTAATGCATCGAAAGTCATACTTTAATAGACGAAAGGATGGTTGGGATGTATAGTGAAGAAATAATTCCAACATCAGGTAAAATGTAGTACCTTTTCTCCCCTCCCATCTTCCCTTTTTCTTAGTGTGAGTTTTGTTTATACTCCATAGCTGAGAATTTTGCTTTGGAAGGACTCTGTTAATCAGTAGTTTATGCAAGTGAGATGCGCATTGGTTTGAATGAAATTATGTCCTCCATTTATTTCTTTCTGGTAAAACTTTGTATATGCCCGTCCTTGGTCTCTCCCTGATTCATATGTTCAACTCGAACACTGGATGAGATGATGTAGTAATTGACTGAATGAGCATAACAATCGATAGAATTTTAGTTCATTTTTAATGTTGTTCAGTATTGAAGAGTCTACTTACCAATTGAGTGTGAAACTATATAAAAGGGCATTCTACTACTTTCACTTGCAATATAGACTCTTATTGTTGTGGCAGTTGAGTATTTTCATTATGGGTTTCTATAGTCTCACACGATCGGTTTCTGCAAAGAAAAATCGGTAGCTTGAGCCATGTGTATGGGGTAGGGCTCGAAAGGCTGGACAAATTTTATTTTTTTTCCTCAATATTTTCAATTTAAACCGAAATAGGAAAAGCCGCAAGCATTAACCATTAGCTCGATCTTCAGTTGAACCTTAGTAAGCTCTGATATACATTCCTTACATGGATAGGAAAGTGACAATAATCCCACAATAAGTTGGTATTATTAATCTAGCGATGTGACTCAGAATAAGCCTTCGTTGATCTATAGATTTTTATTTTTGTTATAAGTGCTTCGCTTGCTTGCAGTGTCTCAACTCGAGTTTTCACTGTAAGATTGAGTGAGGCAACATGAGCTGATTTAAGTAATTTCTAATTATAAGTGATTTTTTACTTGAAGAAAATTTTAAAGAGATTTTGAAACAAAAATTACTTTTTTGAGTTCTGAGTGACCTTTATGTCTAGCCAACATGCTTTATTGTCCATGAAAAACTGCTATCCATGCATGGACTCTGCCAAACCAATCAGTACACTGGACCATTTCTTGACAGCTTAAACTCATAATTTTGGGCCCCCTTCATCTTCATGGATAAAGATAGTGAATGATTGAAGTCAAATCCCATAACTGGACGAGCTGATTATTTACCATGTTGAGCATTTTATGACACAAGATACAAGTAAACTCATTTTCTCTTCTGCAAACACTTTATAGTTTGAGAGCTTAGCTGCAAACGAATGAAAATTAAGGGCCAAAATAAAAATGACCGTGCAAAATGAAAATTATTTGAACTTCGATACAAATTTGAACATATAAAAAGGAAGGTTTGCACTATAGTCGTTACCAATTATCCTAGAAAGAATTGCAAAATTGTCCCCAATTCTTTTATTATTGTTGTCACCATCAATATCTAATAGCGAAAATTCTTCAAATCCTTGTGTAATTGTCATGCAGCCCTCATAAGAGTATAACTCAATTCAAAATTTTGAACTCAAGTTGAAAAGCAAAACTTATGTTCAAAAAATTAGATATCCAAGGATTATATGATAAATTAACATATCTTTAGACGATTATAGTTTCACACAACTATATCAAAATGATGGGCACCAACTTGTAAACTTTTTAAAGATAAAGACCAATTTATTATAACAATAAATTGGGGTCAAATTATGCATTTCCCCTTAAAAATGCTTAACCTAACTTTTGTACCACTTTTACTTTACAGTCAAATATACCAATCCCCACTCCACCCCACCCAAATCCTAGGTAGTATCACCCGGTCTCCTCCTCCTCCTCAATAGGTCCTTTTGTACTCGAGCACAGTTCAAATGACCAAAAATTCATGAAAAAAAAAAAAAAGATTAAAAGAAAAAAGAATTTAATTATATATCAGTGATGAACTGAATGAAAATACAAGTACCCTCAGATGGCATTATACCCATCATTCATTGCCAAGTGCTCTTCGATCCCTATTTACGATATAACATTTCCTTCCCTTCAGCTCATCCCCCTCACGTAACTTTCCTTTTTAGGGTTGAAAAAAAATCATAAAGATCACACCTTTTTCAGATAATACACACACATAACCAAGAAAAAAAAAAGGAACACGTATCTACAGACAAATACATACACATATGCATATATACATATATAAACATAAGGAATCATTCACTTTTTTGGGTCTCTTTGAATATGGTGGTGGCTTTATCAGATAGCTGTCTTAAAGAGGGAAAGAGAATATATAAAGAAAACCTAATCTGATGTGTGATGCCGCGATGGGTTCTCTTCTCTTAGATTTCTGAAATTGTTTCTGCTATTCAACGGTATTCGCTTTCCCTTTCATTGGAGGCTGTGAAAAAAAGCACTTATTCCAAGAATTTTTTTTCCCGGTGAGAAAAAGCTGAAATCCCTTGTGTTTAAAGACGAAATCAGGCTGTGTATATAGACACAGATACATAGATTCAAATATATATGTCGTATGCATGTAGAGGTGGTGGGATATAGAGAATTTTGGGGGGAAGAATGTTGGCATTGGTGGGAGGAGAACGAGGAGGAACTGCTACTAAAATGGAGAAGGAATTTGATTCAAAGCTGAGTATTCAGAATAATGGTCCATCTTCAGACAATAGCAATAACCCTCAGAGATCTCAGAGCTTTGCGTTTAGAGCACCACAGGAAAATTTCAGCATCCAAGATTTTGAATTGGGCAAGATTTATGGTGTTGGTTCTTATTCAAAGGTTCAATCTTTTCCTTTGTTATCTTGTATCCTCTATGTATTCATTTATTATGATTTCTATCATGGGTTTCTGTTTTTCTTGATTTTTGTCTATAGTAGATTGGTTAGGTGGGTCAATTTATCTCAAAATTGAATATCTATCTTCACTTATATTTCTCTATTTGGAAAATTTGTATTGGTTGCAAGAGATCTGTTGATTGTCGAATTTGTTCTTTTTCTTCTTAAACTTGCATGAGATATAAAAATGAAAGCAGCATAGATTTGAAAGGTGATTAACTGAATTTGAAGTTTTTTTGGTTTTCATTTCTACAAATTTCTTCACCTTCTAACAAATTTGACCTGTAACAGTAACCGATGAACTATTTTGCAACTAAGAAATCCTATCTTGGATGGTTGGGAATATTATGTTGCAAAGCACTTTTGATTCAGCGGTAGCTTAACTAAAGGGAAAAATCTTTTTTGAATGATATATATTGTTGCAGTATGGTTTTGATTAGTTGCTATAGTAAGAGGAGCTAGTAAAAGAAAATGTAGTTCCATAAAAGCAGAGTCCGGAGATCATCTGTCCATTCCGAGGAAAAGATTGTAATTATGAGTTCCTTTTTCAACTGTTTTCTTTCAATGTGAACACCAAGAGTCCTTGTAGGAGCATGTAAATTTACAGAAACAGTCTAATGTGGGAATTGGTCGTTTTAAGGCAAAATAGTGGACTAGAATAATAACAGCAGTGCAATGCATGAGAATCAGAGGTAAATTCTCTTGTTGGGATCTGTTTCTGCCATTATCTACTAAAATTTTGTAATAGTGCTTTGCTACTTGATGTTAGAATAGGGCTGGTGCTTTTTGTTGATTTTTTTTTAAAATTGATGGTAAACAGTGTAATGGCAAAGAGTGATTTCTTAATTTTATATTTTTGGGGTGAGATGGTTTTCAAAATTGAAGTCATTGTGCCCTCAATAGGTCTACTTCATGGATCCAGTGTTGCACTTAAAAGCTTAAGTTGTGCTTAATTTCTTTCCTGCTGCAAATATTATTTGCTTGTGAGCTTAGACCCTTAGGAAAAATTCCCTAACCATTCTTCTCTTATTCATTTTCGACCCCAGTTGGCTTCTTTGTTGATTGTTGAGCACAGAATTCCATGAACGATGTAAAGATTTTGATAGGTGGTCATTGATTGGGATTGTTGGCAATAGTTTGCTTGTAAATGTTTACGGTTTGATAATTGTTTTTCTCGTAACTTTGCATTTTAGTTAAAAAATTCTATTATCCACTTATGATTTTGCCAGGTCATCAGAGCGAAAAAGAAAGACACCGGAACTGTCTATGCCATGAAGATCATGGATAAGAAGTTCATCACTAAGGAAAATAAAACTGCTTATGTAAAATTGGAGCGCATTGTATTAGACCAGTTAGATCATCCTGGTGTAGTGCGGTTGTTTTTTACGTTTCAAGATACTTATTCTCTCTGTGAGTGTTCTTGTCACATTACTAGATGGTCTATTGTTATGTTGGTTGATTTTTACGGATGTAGATGTAATGCAATATTTCTGAATTTTATTGTACTATGAAGACATGGCGCTTGAATCTTGTGAAGGCGGAGAACTTTTTGATCAAATAACGAGGGTAAGTAGAATGTGAAAGCATGTATGTTTCTATGGCAGCAATCTGTGCAAACTTTAATTAAATAAGTGCATCAAAAGTTGTGCTAAAATTTACTTTTGACATTTTGATAAATGTTGTTAGATTTAGAGAGAGAAGTGAAGATTTAAAATTAAGCAAAAGGAATGTGAAGTGGAAAATTGAAAGTGGGTTTCCTACTTTATTTATTTATTATTTTTGTTTGTGAAAGTAATTAGGATAAATCTAGGAGTGTAAAAAGTAAAATTCCCAATGTATTCTTATTCGATTTAGCTCGGAATAAGGTGGGTCCACAAGAAAAGAATGTTCTCTCTTTCATTTCCTAATGTACCAAATAAAACTGAAACCTCCATTCCCTCCTCCCTCCCCTGTAAAAATTTGATTGCCCTTTGTTTTTTTTCCCTTCCTTCCAATCAAAACTTATTATAAGACTCTTATGAATGCTGTGTTATTTCATTTGATAGCGAGTCACTATCTTTTCATGTAATGTAGCCTTTCTTTAATGCATAATAGGCTCTGTGTTCCAACCAAATGAAATTTCTTTAAAAAGTATAATCAGGTTTTAGTGCGTCATTCCTTTTGTTATCTACCATAAAAAGGATAATATGTGCATTACTCTTGTCCAAGCCTTTGCACAATGTAATCTTGTTGATTTTTTGCGGGTGCAGAAAGGCCGTTTGTCTGAGGACGAGGCTCGTTTTTATGCAGCTGAAGTTGTGGATGCTCTTGAATATATACATAGTATGGGGTTGATACATCGAGATATTAAGGTAGGTTGCTGCATAAAAAATTTCTATTTCCATTTTAGAAATGCTAAGAGTTTCTTGAATGGCAGCCGGAGAACCTGCTACTTACTACAGATGGACATATTAAAATTGCTGACTTTGGTAGTGTAAAGCCTATACAAGACAGTCAGATAACAGTCCTTCCAAATGCAGCATCGGGTGAGTCTTTCTTACTGCATTGTTGCTTCCAGGAAATTGAAGTCATTATTCTATGAATGAGAGTTTAAAGAATAATTGTCATCATTTAACCCCAGATGATAAGGCGTGTACCTTTGTGGGGACAGCTGCTTATGTACCTCCAGAAGTATTAAATTCTTCTCCTGCAACATTCGGGTAATGAAATTGTATTCGTTGTCTGTTGATTTATTGTTTGTGGGAACCTAGTTCAAATTATTTAATTGTATCTGAAAAATATTTTGAATGATCATGAGAGAAAGTTGATATCTAATGAAGTGGTTCCTGCGTTTCATTCTTAATTATGTGTTGTTCCAATACAACAATTTAGTTACTCCCCTAAATTATGTTCACCCAGGAATGACATCTGGGCACTTGGATGCACGCTTTATCAAATGCTTTCAGGGACTTCTCCCTTTAAAGATGCTAGCGAATGGCTTATTTTTCAAAGAATTATTGCTAGAGACATCAGATTTCCGAATTACTTTTCAGCCGAAGCACGAGATCTCATTGATCGGTTATTGGTAAGCCAAAATTACTCTTTCCATTTGTTTTTATGTATTTTGGTTTACTATTTTTTAGCTGATGTTAGTTTAATGAAAAATCTTAAAATTGGAAAAGAATCATGAGAAGAATTGGGGACAAGCCTCAATGTCGTTGTGGCTTGTATGCATAGGATATAAGAGTGTTCTTTGGATGCGGATCTGATATTGAAATAGTTACATCAAAATGAAGGATGTGCTTTGAAGAGATACAACATTCTATATTATGACTTTTTGCATGTCAATTGGGAATATCTGTTTGCCAAAACATTCAAATTCTAGGCTGTCAGATTTTGGTTGTTTTTTTTTTCATATGATTGACCACTGAAACTGTTTTTCTTTTTTTCTTTTTAATCTAACTATGTCTCTTATGCAATGTTGATGTAGGACATAGATCCCAGCAGGCGACCAGGTGCAGGACCTGACGGTTATGCTTCACTCAAAAGCCATCCTTTCTTCAAGGGAATTGATTGGAATAATTTGAGGGAGCAACCTCCACCAAAACTTGCAATGGAGCCTAAAGTGTGCAATTTTTTTTTTTTTGGGTCTTTTGATACTTTCAAATACTCTAAGAACTCATAAGAAGCAAATTTTTTATATTGATGGGTAGTCTGTTCAATTTTCTTAGAATGGGTAGCAACTGCTTTGCATTCCCAGTGAATTTTCTTTTTCTTGATTTGTGATTTTTGATTAAAAAAAGTAACATGTTCTCAACATTTGACGACTGTCTTGATTCTCTTAGTCTCAGTCTAACGTGGGTGAGGACCAAGATTCATTGTGGAATCCAGCACATATTGGAGATGGTTCTGCAAAAACAACTGATGGAAATGGTGGTGCATCATCAACTTCCGAAGCTGGTAGCATAACTAGGCTTGCTTCAATCGATTCATTTGATTCAAAATGGTAAGTTCCGGCACTTGTCTTTTCAGAAGAGACCTAGTTCTTGGGATTTAGGTACCCTGATTAAGAATCATTTGTTTGCTTGATAAAAGTAGTATTTCATACATAAACACATAAATTATGTTTGGTGTTATTGTTGCTTTTCTTGACAACTGTAAGCTCTAATCCAACCCTATATTAATATACTAAAAGTAGAGTCTCTAGGGGATGTTTATATGGATTTGCGGTGTCATGCTTGTGTAGAATTATGAATTGCTTGTGTAGAGTTATGAGTTGGTTGCTGGGCATGGACTAATTTATCTTTGAATAATGGCTCGTGTTGATTCAGTAATTGACCTATATAAATCCATTAAATGGGGATATTTAAGTCTCTGTTTGGATACAAATTTATAAATGGTTTATAAATTGAGTGAAATCCAAACATTAATTTCAATCATACATTCTTAACTACTACTCATTATTATCCACCATTTCATGGGACCCACTACTGTTCCTCTTTATAAGCCATTTTTAAATTTGCCAAATGGAGGTTAAGTAATTTCGTGAAAGTGAACGTGTAATGAATTGTTAAACCTGAAAATGGCTTATTTACTGGTTAACAGGTTACGTAGGTTATGTCAACACAGAAAGATAAAATGTGTTAGTGGGTTGTGTCGTGTGGTGTTGACCAGTTCATGCCTAGGAACTTTAATCCATTGATCTGTGTGATAAACCACGTGTTTATGCTCGAAATGAACCAAAAAATCACCACCTTTACATTTCTTGATATATTTTTTAAATTACTAGTGTGCCAGAGAGAAATTTGATGGATAACTTGTATGAATAATTCATTCTGATTTCGTGATTAATTATTTCTCATTTCACATAGAATCCGATGCATGACTTGTTCTTTGAGGTTCTTTATCATTGGCATTTTGCCAGAACTTACAATGCATACTTAATTTCTTTAGTGCTTCGTAGTTGGAGAATTTAAGAAACTGTTGTCTTCGTCTACATCTCAATGGAGTCTCTGTTGGTCTCAAATGGTTTCCTTCATCCTTTCCTTCTGAAATTTATACAGGCAACAATTCTTGGAACCCGGTGAATCCGTCCTTATGATCTCAATGGTCAAGAAACTACGGAAACTAACAAACAAGAAAGTACAACTTATCCTGACCAATAAACCAAAGTTGATTTACGTAGACCCTGCAAAACTGGTGGTTAAAGGGAACATAATATGGTCTGACAATCCGAATGATTTGAGCATTCAAGTCACAAGCCCTTCGCATTTCAAGATTTGCACTGTAAGTTATGCTTTCTCTTATCTTCTGCAATCATTCAAATACTTCTAACTTCATCCTCAAGATTGATTAGTCGATGAAACTTCGTATCATTTCTTCAATACTATGTGGGGAAGCACACTGTATCTCAAGTTGTTTTACTACACACCATAAAGCCCGGTCCAAATTCTGAATCAATGGAGAAGAAAACAACATATAGATCTTCGGGAAAAGTACCAGAAAGAAGCCAACAAAGAGTATACAAAAGTTGAAGCTCTTGATCTTACATTCATGCTTATTTCTATGCATTTATACGAGTCCCCAAAAAATAATTAAAAACTAGATTTTCTTAAGCGACAGAAATCCGCCTTCTCTTACATCATTTTTGGACTTTATGTCTTTCATTACAATGCATCACTCTTACAATTTACGTAAAAATGTCTTAGGTGCATCCTAGGTGGGGAGGTGGTGGTACCAATTGAAATTCTATGAGGGACAACCCTGGTGGTTGGAATATATCTTGACTTAGAAAAAACTCTAATTCACAAGAGTGACGCCACAGCGAGATGAGACCAAAATGATATGGTTGCGAATCATTTGATAGCATCAAAAATTCAGTAGATGTAATGATTGTTGCTTTGAATGATAAAAAAAGATTCATAGGGTTGAGTCCAAAATATTGAGAATGACAATAGTTTGTGGTTGTTATATTTGGAGCATACTAATGTTACTTTACAACTTTTAAGAATGACGAGTTACCTGTTCATATTCTAAGTCGGGACACTTTGACTGAATCGTATGTCGTGAAATTGAAAACTGGGTGTTGCCCCGTTTTCTTGCAGTCTATCTGATTTGGATTAAAGCAAAGTAGACCAGGTTAAGAAACACTTTTTCTGACCTTGAGCGTGTTAAGACAACTTATGTAATTCTTGGAACCAGAGCTTACCAGGGTTTATGCATATCATTATTCTGTTAACTTGCCTCTGCTTATAAACTTATCTGGAATTATATTTTCGATTATAAGTGAGTGTTTTGCTGGCAGCCAAAAAAAGTCGTGTCGTTCGAGGACTCAAAACAAAGAGCCTCACAGTGGAAAAAGGCAATTGAAGCCCTTCAAAATCGGTGAATTGTCTTTATGATTATGATAGCACATTCTTTGAACATGACTATGGTAGAGAAACACGGGGTTCAGAAAACAGTCTGATGCTCCCTTGGAAAAAATTTCTCGAAGGTATTGATATAAGTTACAGAATTCGTTTCTGCATTCTAGATCTCAACTCCTGCATGGATAGAGCAGATGCATGAGAATTGCTTTTGGCATCACTTTTTTCGTGGAAAATCTAACTCGGATGGCTTTTTACGCTATGGGTGTCCACCAGTTTTGCCGTAAAGCACTTGTTCCAAGCCTTTCAGTTTGAATGCCATTTGTTTATAGCAGTGATTTCTTGATTTAGAAAACATAGATTTACACAATGAATCAAAAGTGGACACAAGGAAAAAAACTGTTGTTTATGTTGTACTTAAACCCTGTGTTACTGATTTGTATTGAATTATTTGACTCCTAGTCTGTAGTTTTTCTATTCATTATCTTTATTGCATTCAGCAGTTCATAGAACAAAATTTTGCTGGTATGCAGGTTATTCTAAGTTGAATCATATGATTGTATTCAATATTGAACAATGTACATGGTGTCGTCACTTGAGGTCTTTTCATCAATTTCTATTTGACGGAATAGATAAAAGGAATCTGACAACTCTTTCTTACTTTCTCCTTAATAATAGTGAATGGTTGTTTTATTCTATTTTTTCTCGACTGGCCCTTTCTCTTTCTTGTGAAAAGGACATGACTTGCCATACTTGGAATAGAACATTTATCTCATAGTAGCAGCCATTTCCGTAGCACAATTGCATGAATGATCCACCAACTAATTTTTACTTGTTCCTTCAAGGTGCAAATTGACGTTTTCAACCACAATCACTCGACAATCAAAATAAAAAATGAACACGAGGAATTTTCGTCCAATCTTATGGATGTTTATGTGGTTTAAACGCAAATTACTGGTTAGACATTAATCAATGAGATATAGCTCGATGCACTAAGTACTAATCACAAAAGGTTTATTTTCGTCATCTACCATTCGTTCATTTATTAAATAGGCGTGTGTTGTGCAGATGACATAATTTAAAATAACAAAAAATATATGATGAGTGATCGGAAAAGATCTTTTGTGCAAGAGTAGGTTGAAATCAGGATGTAAATACAAATTTAAAAAATACTAATAATTGTCATAAAAGAGGACAATCGATAGGCACGTTTTGTGCTTATTATTATATTCTAAAATAAAAGATAATAGAGATATTTTTGGCGGCCCGGCCCGAATAGACTCCCTGTGCACAGCCCACTAGAAATTCGTTCGAACTCCACCTGCTCTACTTCAATTAAAGTTTCTTGTCTTGCACTTGTATTGTATTTTCCGCCTCTTCCCCATACCCAAAATTCCTGACGGACACCGCACCGATGGCGGAACCCCAATCCTTCACAGGCGAAAACACGATTCTGGCCAAAAACTCACAACAACAAGAAGAAGACAGCCATGCCCAAAATAATCCCTTTTTATCTTTTGTGTCGAACATACTTCAATTATTCAAGCTGCCTGCACCCAAGAAGAACGGTTCTATCACTAAAAATGTTTCGGAATCCGACCCGAGTGAAATCGGAGCATCTGTGAGCGAAACTGTGGTGGAAGACGAAAGTAAACCCGCTGTTGTGAAGTTCCCGAGGCAGAGCTTGGCTCCATTGAAGATCGAAGGAGAAGCTGAAGGGGGTGAACAGAATACTAACCCCGTTATATTATGGCAGGTACTGCTTTTCTTCGAAATTGAAATATTTCTGGGTTTTTGAGGGATTTTAGTTTTATTATGAAATCTTAATCTAGGTATCGAGTGTTATAGAACGTTGTGCTCTGATTAATCGTACCGTTCTTGGCCAAGATAATATATACTCCAGTTCCAGTATCTGCTTTGTTGGAATGTGTGGATACTATAAACTTTAATCCAAGGTTTTAATCTTTGATACACGATCCACAAAAGGTCAATGCTCGTACATTATTCATCAACTGCTTGTACTTCACTTCTTACAAATGTATTTTTTTTTTCGGGGTGGTGATTGGTTCCTATCATGCTATTATCTTGAGGCTGTAGTACACCATAAATAATAATATTAAATTACGAAAATTAGAATTACTAATGTTTAATTATTCATATGATGTATAATTTACATAATTTGTTAAATTTTGTCACCATTATTCAAAGTTAATTATGACATATGTAAGACAATATTGAAAATTCAACTCCATTATGTAAAGTAAGGAGAATTATGGCACTTCCTGTAGTAGGTAATATGTAAGACAGTGTGCTTGTTGAATTATTCACGGGTTGAATATTGGGACTTGGCATTTGTGGCCTGAATGTCTTATTATCTGTATTTTATATGTCATGAATTGCAATAAGCATGTGGTTATAGTTCTTTGTGATGTATTATTTGGGTATCCAATTTTATTGTGAATTGGTAAGCTTTGCCAAGGTTAAGCTTTGGTATTTGCAATCGGAAACTTTGAGGTAATTTCCTTGAGCATCTGATGTCATAGAAATCACATCAAACTCCATTTGTTGAATTAGATTGAAATGTCGCATGTTAAGGGATGGGTAAGCCTGCTTTGAGGTTGATATTTCCCCAGTTGAATGAGATGCCAACTCGATTTGTAGGAGTCAATTAATATGAAGAAATAAATTATGATCTTTCATTCTGAATTTGTCCTTGAGCCCTTAGTGTTAGTTTGAATTAACCTGATCCCTCCTCATAAACGGGAATCAGGGGAAATTTTCGAAGGCACTCAATTTTCTATTACATCTTTCTGGGCCCTTTTGGATAGCAACCATCTAGAGCATGTTTGGGAAGTGTTATAAATTGTTTAAATTATGAATACTTAGAAATGAGTGTTGGATAAGTGGGTAGTACTTGTGGGTCCCTCGAAAGACTTGAATGTTTATAAACATGAACCAACCATAGGCTTAGATAGAAGTTTGTTGAGATGATGTTTATATTGAGATGAAAATTTGTCTGAAGCTGTCCTTGTTATGACGACAGTTTATTACTACTTTTCCCCTTGATCTTTTCTTTTATTCATTTTGCTACTGCCTAAACATAACGCAGATTATGCCAATGCTTATGGATCATAATTATGGGCACCCGTGCATTTTCTGCAAGAGTGCTTGGTCATTCCTATTGATATAGTACATATAAGAAATAGAATTCACATGTCAATGATCAATGACGTTTTGAGGTGGCTTTAGATGTTCATGTTACCAATCTACATCAATTTTACTTGATTAAAGCTCCTTTTGGAAGAAAAATGGTTGGTGTAAAAGATCACGAATATGCATAATTGATCCATAGATATTCTTAGCTGAAGTGTTATAAGTGTTTGGATAATGAAATTAATTTAAATATGTACTTGATTGGTCTTTACTGCACTTTTTCCAAAAGAGTCTTAGTTTTCCATATAGCTGTACAAAGATGACGAATCAGAAAATGACTAAAATAAGACAATATCCATTTCAGAGAAAAAAATTGGAAAATTCAAGTTGCTTCAGTATTTCTACCATCTATGAACGTACACTACACAAATTAGGAGCTGATGAAAGACCAATACTTCACCTTCCCTCTTCTTTTGCTTCAGAGCATTCTCCTTTTAATTTCACATGCACTGTCTTTGGGTGGTTCAGGTTTATGCCATTGGAGGATTCTTCATTTTGCGGTGGGCATGGAAAAGATGGAACGAGCGGAAGGGAGATAAGAAGTCCGGCGATGAACCTCCTCCATCTCATGATTAATCTTTTTTAACGACTTGTTGGATAGGGAAGTCATGATGACTTGTAATCTAGTAGTGTATTACAAATACGCTTGTCGTTTTGAATTTGCATCATGAAAATATTAAATTCAGTCAGTAAATTACACTTCTTAAAGTTGAGTTAGTGTTTTACTTTAATTTTGAGGATCGCTTTTATGTTTAGTTCTTAGTTTGCATTATTACGCGTTGGTATCATCCTTCTTCAGGTGTTTCAGTCAATCAATTATAAACAGTTTTTATTGTTGACATTGAAGGTGGCATCTTTCTATTCAGAATTGTATGTGCACAGTTTCCTTAATATATACATCTTTTGACCTTTAAATTCCAAAATCAAATTTTCTATACTGTGAAAGAAGACTACTATGGTAAAATATTGCAACAATGTGCTCCTATTTCCTCTGGGAAAACCGTTGTTGCGATTATATCTTTTGTGCCAATGATATGACAGAATAATGCTCTAAGGAAGAACTTTAAATGCCCATAAAAGTATGATTGTTTATGCAACGGAAAACTGATTCCAAATTTATCAAGATTCAGCCCTTTCAAGACAGCTGCCTGACCTAGCTAGAAGTCTGGCATCTGCTTAAAGAATCTGTGTTTGCATGACATAGTTCTTCGTCTTTTCAATCATCCTAGAAACTTTAAATGCTTGTTTGTGAAAATTTGAGGAAATGTTTATTTTGATTGTATATATGGGAAGGACAGGAGTTGAACAGATTATTTAGAACTGTTCCTTATTTTTAAGGCAATGTTTACGACATAGTACTGGTTTGGACAAGGCATTACAGTGGTCAATATTTTCTGTAATTCTCTCTTTAATAATGTATTGTGCTGCCCAGGAATCCAATAAGGGATTTAACTTGCAGGAACAGAAAGGGGGGAAAATGCAACTCATTAGTTCAACTCTCTTTCCATTTTTCCTGTTGTCCTGGCATCTGAATAATCTTTGTCATACATAAATGCCGTTTATCAGGTTGCGTTGCTTTATATGTGAAAAAGTCACTTGATTGAACTCCAACTTTTGATATGAATTTGATTCCTAGAATTTGTCTTCAAGGAATGGGTAGTCTGTGTAACCAACAACAGGATCGTGCGTTTAAAACGTACTTCTGTCATACTTATTGGTACTGAATTAAGCTCAAATCTTCCAGGTAAATCTGGGTTAGCCAAGAACAGGCGCCCAAACACAAGAAGATCACCGCCATCCCTACCAATGACTTCATTTCCGTTGTCCATGTTGTATACCCCCTGCAACAATAGAAGTCCCTGTTTGCAAGTTTTTCTCGTAGGCAGTGGACAGCTTTTAGTTTCTTGCTTGTCAAACTGTGCGATCCTCAATAACATGACAGTACAGTATGCTGTATTTGTTCAATGCCTCGGCCATGTAGAGGCCGATGGCACCAGGGTTCAGATCTCCACTGTTGTAATTGGCATTAAGGTGAGAGCCTAATTCTAACTCTGTGAGCTCCAATTTCGTCTGCTACTGCTCTTTCTATCTCCATGGAAACCGATTACGATTTTCTAAGCTCCCTGCATATTCATCCGTTCTGTCGTTCACTTCATCTTTCATGAATGGTTATAACAAAGTTTAATACATAATCAAAAGCTCAACCATAGTTTAAGTAGTTTTAAGACAACAATAAAATAACTACGGTGCCGGAGGAGGAGGATGCAGAAATCGAGCACGAAAGTCGGGAAAAAAGGCAGTCATCTACTCTTGCATAGTAGCCTGTCATGCGAGGATCTTCTCCTGCAGAGCTCGTATGTGATGAAGCTCACCGCTCATCCCATCAACGGTCGTAGTAAGAGAGTCGATCCTACCGCTCAAAAGTGCAAGCTGATCCTCATCGAGACCCTGTCTAGTAGGTCGGGTAGCTCTCGGTCCCGAGCTTCCAGTAGGAGAGGCGCCCTTGTCGTCGTCGTCATACGCATCTTCTTCAATTGGTAACGTAGATGGCCCAGAGGACGGGTCAAACCCCTTTGTTTTAGCTACCCATTGTTCATTTTTCTTAACAATTTTCATGCGTTTAAGGGTGGTTGAACTAATGGTGACGGTGGGACTGAGTTTGATGAATGCTTCGTCATGAAGAGGAATGTCAAAATGTTGAAAGATTTTGGTTAAAAGCATGTCATAGGGAAGTGCCTTAGCCACAAGTGATGAACAGATGAACTTCATAAGACCTAATGCGGTCGGAAAATCAACTCGTCGTTCGACAAGAAAGGAGTCAAGAAGGAAGATGTCAAAACAATTTACTTCATCCCGGTGCCCCTTCCTAGGTAGAATAACGTTGGCAGTGATGTTTTGCAAAACTTTGCATTGCTCCATGAATCTTTGCCCCATTGAAACATGTGAAAGCAGTCATGAATTGGCGTATTTAGTGAAAGCTTAACAATATTCATAGATTATTGTCTGTTGTTAAATGTACGAAATATATAAACTCATGAAAGTTGCTAAATAATACGTTAACAACATGCATTTAAACATTGTTGTCAAAACTCTATTGAGTTGACCAATGGCAACATGCAATCTTTAGATTGTTGCGATAAATTCTTTTTAGCAACACGTCATTAATTAATGTGGTTGTTTTAACTTTTACAAAAATCTATTTTTCTTGGAGTATGAGGAGACTAAAGACTTGTGATCGACTAGCATCGTGTTTATGAAAATGGTTAACTCAAATTTGATGGGGTCAAACATAAGGTGTTGCAATTGTGGAAGTATTCCATTATTTTTGAAAATCTTCTGAAATTATGCTTTTTACATGATTCTTTTGATTGAAATGGTTTGCCTGTGTTTCTTGCTAAAGGGATTAATATTAATTTTGGTTTGTAAAGTGTTTGCCTGTGTTTCTTGCTAAAGGGATTAATATTAATTTTGGTTTGTAAAGTGTCTGACCGGTTAAAAGAGTTTTTAAAGAAATCTAATCCATACTTGAGAAACTAGTCTATAATATGCACAAGTAAAACCTATCCCAAATAGGTTCTAAGTTAATAAATTAAGGGGAAATTTCATAACCAAGAGATTAAATTTCACAAATTTCAAATTTAGGAGAAGGTTTAAAGGTTTAAAATTTCAAATCTTAGATTTTTTTTTAAAATTTTATTTATAAATTAACTAATTAAACATACATTTTACAATTCTATATAATTTGGTCACAAATTCATATAATTGGTCACATATTATTAATTTGTAACAAATCACAAATTTTACAAGTCATAAATTATTTTATGGTCACAATTCAAAAAATTTATAAGTCACAATTTATTCATCGGTCACAAATAAAAAAATTTATATATCACAACTTATTCATTGATCACAAATCACAAATATTATAAGTCACGACTTAGTAGACAGTCATAAATTGTCAAATTATCAGTCACAAATTAACAATTTTTTAGGTCGCACATTATTTTTTTGTCACAATTTATCTTTTTCATTGATCACATATTATTTATTGGTCACATATTAACCAATTTAATTGTCACAAATGACCAAAAAATCTGTGACCACCATCAACCACCAACTTGTGACCACCACCTCACCACTCCCTCTAGCAGCACCATTGCCACCGTCGCTGCCAGAACCACAATCACTACCAATTCCTGACACCACCTCAAACAAATCAACACATCGCAGAAAACACTACCACATCTTCGCACCGATCCACCACCACCTCGACAGGCCCATCGCCACTAACATCTCAACTTCACCACCACCAACACCAAGATCCACCACCACCGTCACCAACAAAATCACTGTACACAACCAGAGAACAACCACCATCTCATCTCATAGATGTACTTCACTTCTTTCAGATCTCACGGACCACTACCACTACACGAACTTTTCCGACGCTGCCAAATCGCACTTCCAATCAGCCTCCAATCACACCACAGACCCACCACCACGTTCAAAACGTACCACCACCATACACCGTACCTCAAACAAATCAACACCACCGCCAACGTCGCCACCAGAACCACTACCACCATCTCAAACAAATCGGCACATGGCGGAACGTCACGCTAGATCCGCTACTACCACCACCTCACCTCCATAGCACAGGTACCAAATCAGGACGCAGAGCACAGACACACCATCACCACGGCCAAATCCATCACCACCAACTCTAGATCCACCATCAGTAGCACCCGATCCACCGCCGCTACTAAAACCACCCAAACATTACCACACCATGGAAACCACCACCACTAACAAACAAAAATAACCAAATCTAGTGCGGCCGCCATCCTTCACGCCCAAAATATCTCAAAACCAGGCGGTACAACGCCTTTGCGAGCGCGGTGGTTCTGATCGATGACCCTCACGCAGTGGCATAGCCCCTTCTGATATCTCGTGAGGTTGCGCCATCTGTGGACGTGCTATATCGGGCGGTGGTGAGAGGTTGGGCTGTCGGCAGAGAGGGAGGAGAAGGCTGCTCCGTCTGTAGAGGTTGTATCTCGCGAGGCTACGTCATATGTGGAAGCGTTGTATTTGTAGCGATGGTGAGTAGGCTGCCAGCGAAGATGGTGGAGATGGCGTCGTCGATGAGGATTGGTAGAGAGAGTGAGAAGAGATTACGGTGAGAAGAAAAGAGGAGGAGGAATATTGAAAATTGTTGCTAGGGTTTGGGCGAAATTAATTAGGATTGGGATGAAAATTGTATAATTAATATTTAATTAAACATGAAATATCTGATTTTTGAAAAATGAAACTTGGGATGTGATTTTTGAATATGAATATTGAATAGTAGGGTTTTGTGTAATTTCCACATAAATTAATTTTCATTATTTATCTGGTTTTATAACCGATGTTTATAAAATTTATTGATGAATTAAACACATGATTCAACAAAGAAAGTATGATCCATACTGCATGCCTGAATTAAATGTATGATTTTTCTGTTAAAAAATATAAATTCTTTTGATTTTCTGAACAAGGTAAAATTTCTATGCACACAAATCTTGATGGCAGTTTCTTCTTCCTCATAGATTGCCCAATTTTTTTAAATTTTCTATCAATGATCAATAGTTATCCAAAATGCTCTTAAAAAGAAAAAAGCCATCCAAAATATTTAAAATTCAATTTAAAACAAAATGGAGTAAGTGGATTGCGTGCTTCTCCCTGCTACAACTAGGACCGAACAAAAAAACAACTAAACCGCAAAATAAAACTAATTTTGTTGTTTAGAAATTGGTAGTTTGGATCCACGTCGATCCTTCAACATTTCAATTTTAAACAGAATTAAACCACTTGAAAAATATTGATTTAAATTTCAACACTTAAAAAACTGTTTAAAACCGAATCGAAGTATTTATAATTTCTTTTTTAAATAATATTCCCCCCCTCCCCCTCGTTATTCCAAATTATAATAAGATGAATAATAATTTTTTAAAGAATGTGTATAAAGAAATTTGATATTAAAATGGTTGAACTTTATATTATTTTTATAGCTTTAGGCTTGTATTGATAATAATATATTGTAATGTTTAGGTTAAGAAAGTTACAATATAAACATTGCATTGAAATTTTAAATCAATATTTAACTTATTTGATTTGATTCGTGCATATAAAATAATTCATTTAAAAATAAATGAAAAATATTTCAAAGTGAATCGTATTCATCCCAGATACACCCTCTGTCCTCAAGGCATGAGTCGTGGTGGACTTATTTGAGCTTCGGCTTCTTCTCAACAAGTAGGCCCTCAGGTTAAGCCTAAGATTATGAGGCGTAAGCCCAATTGCCCCCTAGCCCCAGCCACCAAACCTAAAAAGAGGCGTAAGCCCAAGGGAAAAAATCATATTTAAGGTGTTTTCTTTACCTCAATTCAAAAATAAGGTAAATAGTTTAAAAATTCAAAAATCAGGTATTTATTTAATTAATTAAAAATATTTATTAAATAAAGATAAAAAAGTCACATTTTGTGATTAATGGTCACATATTCATAATTTTTCAATGATCAATAGTTATCCAAAATGTTCTTAAAAAGAAAAAAGCCATCCAAAATATTTAAAATTCAATTTAAAACAAAATGGTGTAAGTGGATTGCGTGCTTCTCCCTGCTACAACTAGGACCGAACAAAAAAACAACTAAACCGCAAAATCAAACTAATTTTGTTGTTTAGAAATTGGTAGTTTGGATCCACGTCGATCCTTCAACATTTCAATTTTAAACAGAATTAAACCACTTGAATAATATTGATTTAAATTTCAACACTTAAAAAACTGTTTAAAACCGAATCGAAGTATTTATAATTTTTTTTTAAATAATATACCCCCCCCCCCTCCCCCCCCCAATTATTCCAAATTATAATAAGATGAATAATAATTTTTTAAAGAATGTGTATAAAGAAATTTGATATTAATATGGTTGAACTTTATATTATTTTTATAGCTTTAGGCTTGTATTTGATAATAATATATTGTAATGTTTAGGTTAAGAAAGTTACAATATAAACATTGCATTGAACTTTTAAATCAATATTTGAGTTTTAACTTATTTGATTTGATTCGTGCATATAAAATAATTCATTTAAAAATAAATAAAAAATATTTCAAAGTGAATCGTATTCATCCCTGATACACCCTCTGTCCTCAAGGTATGATTCGTGGTGGACTTATTTGAGCTTCGGCTTCTTCTCAAACAAGTAGGTCCTCAGGATAAGCCTAAGATTATGAGGCGTAAGCCCAATTGCCCCCTAGCCCCAGCCACCAAACCTAAAAAGAGGCGTAAGCCCAATTGCCCCCTACCTTCTTTGTCTATCTATCTATAGAAAGACGACTTTATATCAATTTTCCAATTAAAACAAATAAATAATGGGAAAATTACACAAAATCCTACTTTTCAAAATCAATATTCAAAAATCAGATAGGAAGTTTCATTTTTTAAAAAATCAGATATTCATCTAATTATTATAAATTAATATTTTAATATTAATAACAATATAAATTAATTTATATACACATCCTTACACTATCTACCCCTATTGAAATCCCAAAATCAATTTTTCTCCCATCTCCTCTCCCGTCTCTCTACTCAAACCGTCGTCGCCATAGCCGCGACGCTTCTTCCCCTCCCCCCTCTCTCTCTCTCTCTCTCTCTCTCTGCAGTTCGTCGACGCTATCGTTCCCTGCAGAAAGAGCTATGTCGCCGCTCGCTGTGGCCTTCCCTGCGAACAGCTTGCACTTGCAGCGACGTTGTACAGCCATCGTTTGTAATTAGTATCGATTTGTGGACGAGCAACCACCATGGTCTGTGATTTGTTGTTTGTGGTTTATTTTGATTGCTAGCATGAATGATAGCTGCCATGGTTTTGAGATATTTTTGGGTGTGATTTTTGGGATTGAAAGATGGCGGTTATGCTAGATTTAGTCAGTTTTTGTCTGTTGTTGGAGTGGTGCTGGTGATTTTAATTGTTTGGTAATATTGTGGTGGTTTTATTGGCAAGGTGCAGGTGGATCTGATGCTGCTAGTGGTAGTTCTGGAGCGACGGTGGTCGTGGTTGGTACAGGCAGCCGACGTGGTGGTATTGGGGGCGGATATGGTGATGGCTGTGGTTTTGTTGGAGGCGGCGACGGTGGATTTTGTTGTTGGCGGTGGTGGTTTTAAAATTGAAAGTGGTAGTTTGTTGGAGGTGGTGACAGTGTTGGTTTGTTTGAGATGACGATGTTGCTATTAGGCGGCAACAGTGGTGCTGCTGCTGGAGGCAGTGGCTAGGTGATTGTCGAAAGCATTGGTTGTTGTTACAGATTATTTGGTTGATTGTGACCATTAAATTGGTTAACCCATGATCAATAAATAATATGTGACCAATTAAAAAAAATAAATTGTGACCAAAAAATAATGTGACCTAAAAAATATTAATTTGTGACCGTAATTTGATAATTTGTGACGGTATAATAAGTTGTGACTCATAATATTTGTGATATGTGACCAATGAATAAATTGTAACTATTAAATTTTTAATTTGTGACCGATGAACAAAATGTGACCTATAAATTTTGAATTATGACTGTAAAATAATTTGATACATAAAAATTTTGATTTGTGATCGAAAAATAATATGTGACTAATTAAATGGTTAATTTGTGGCCAAATTGTATAGATCTGTGACTTTAATATATTTAATTAATTAAATCATGAATAAATTTTAATAAAAACCTGATTTTTAAAATTTAAAATATCTATTCTTAATTTTGAAATTAGTGATGCTTAAGGCGAAATTACACTAAACCAGTTGTTTAGTTTTGACTTTTAAAAAATCAGGTTTTTACTTTATTTAATAAAAAATCAGGTTTTAATTTCACAATTAATATTAATAATACTATTTTTAAATTAAATTAAATATATACCCACCCTACTACCTACCCCACCAACTTTATTTAAATATAAAACCAAACCAAAACCTAATTCATTCCATTTTATCTCTCTCATCTCTACCGCCGCCTCCACCACCATCGCCCGCCGCCCCTTCCCCTATCCCTCCTCTGCTGTTGAACGGCAGCAACGTCGCTGCCGTTCAGCAGCGTCGCAGTTGCGCAGGCAGGCAGCAGCG